CGTCAAGTCAGGAGGCTTGTTGGACTTGTCGAGATCCGATATGTCGTCTTTGAATCCCAATACCTGCTCCACGGTCGCTTCGCAGAATCAAGTGCGCCAAATTCAACTACATCATAACCCTATTGCCTCCATCCCAATTGCACTTGGCGCATTTGGCTCAACTTTATCGTTTCTATCTTTGGCATATGCACAGATAACTGGCGACTCGTACCTCACAGAAACGCTTGACCTACCCGCTCTACGGGAACTGAGCCTATTGTCAAATCAAATCACAAGCTTGAACCCCGTGACAAAGTTCCTGAAGGCACCGAGCTTGGAGAAGCTGGACGTCACTCTCAATCGCGTCACTTCGCTCCCTACGAGTTTAAAGCAAGCCTTTCCGCAGCTGTCCGTGCTATTAATGGCAAGCAATCAATTATCAGAGCTCGATCCCGAGTGGATTCGGGGGCTGAAGATCGTCGATGCCTCTAGCAATAATATTGGCCAGCTAACCCCCAGGCTTGGTCTCCTTGGTGGTGTCGACGGACTACAACGATTGGAGGTTGCCGGCAATCGATTTAGAGTGCCGAGGTGGACCATCCTTGAAAGGGGGACCGAGGCCACGCTGAGATGGTTACGAGGAAGACTTCCGACTGAAGAAATGGCCGCTTGGAGGGCGGCCAACGGTGAAGACAGCGGAGAAGATATAGACTAATTTACACACCAAAAAAAAGTACAATAGAGAAGCGTAAACATTGGAGATGGAGTCGACAATTACAGCGGGTACCAGCAAGATAATATTAATATTTTGGACATTTTGAGACGCGAGTATGTCGCTTGATAGGAAGTGCAAGTTTCTCGGGTCCCTTCCATAGCTGCTATATATCTAGCAAGATGAGGGGAATAAAGAAAAGATGCACTGCGACGTTTGCAGGGATGACAGTCACAGCTCCGCCCTTAAACAGAGGATCAATCATTCAAACTTGTGAGTGTGAATGAGCATAAAGGAAGGGAAGCTCTTGCCCCTTGGCGTGCAAAGTTTGCTACAAGGTTCTGCTGCCACTGAATCAAGGGAAGGCGGTCGGAGGGTCGTGATTCACTCCATCTCTCGCCGTGCGATGGCAGTACAGTTGTAATAATATTTTGCCTCTGGCCTTTATTTTTGAAATACGAATACACACCCACACAAGCAGCTTTTGGTTCTTCTATCCTTATCAACCCTTGCACCTTGCCGATCAAGAATAACCCCGGCTATGTACGCCAGCCCGACAACAAGCGAAGGGTCAACGCCAGTCCGGGGAATCATCACAGTTGGTAAACAAGTATTTCCAAGGCGCGAAATATCTTCCTTCCAAATGGCTTCACGGTACGGCTTATGGGAAGTCCCCAACCCGGGGCACTCCTACGAACACCACAACATCGTCAAGGTCTTGATTCCCATATCCGTGGTTGGATGGCTGCTCTTCGGGGCGATATGCATCTTGTGCATCAATGGCCGCGGACGGGCCGGTCGATGGATCCCTGAGTGGTATCTCGATTCCGAGGGAAAGCGCTGGGACAAGGCTGCCGTGGGAGCGTGGTGGCTCGCGGTTCTATTTGGGTGGCCGTTGATTCTACCCGGCGTGGTTGTAGGGTGCCTGTCGAGGAAGCTGAGGATGTGGCGCGCCGAGAAGAGGCTGAAGACGCAGAAATCGGAGAAGGAGCTGGAGCCAGACGACAAGGTATGAGATTATGAGGTTGCTGGCTACTCAAGGGAAGACAGACGCGGGGGGTTCTTCGGGCGTGGTACTTGTTCAGTCAGGTGTGTGGAGGAGATGAATGGATATTGACGGGCGCGCTGGTGGCCTTGGTTTCGCATGATGTATTTACATTATATATACTAGGTCGAGAAGCACGAACAAGCAAGCTGCCTATGGTTCCCATTATCGTATGCCATAATGCAAACTCCTGTGCATTTTGTCAGGTTGATGAATGCCAACTAGGGATCGAGATACCCTGGGGTCGAGCACGGGAGGTGAAACGGCCTGATGGGATATGGGACTGGCTGGATTAGGTTTAGCCCTCATGTGACTTCCAGCACGTACCCTGTCAATTCTGTCTCCGAGCAACCACATCTGGGGGAAGGCCGACATCTGGATGCAGGCGGCCAGAGGCCAGACAGAGCATGGGCCCCAGCTCAAGGCTGAGCCTGATTCAATGGTGCACAAGAGCCATCCGCCGCTTGCAACCAAGCTCTCGACCGACCTCACTCACACACACCCTCTCTCGACCCATCATTGCTACCTTTACACATCACCACCGCCAACTGTCAGCACCGCCAAACAGTCCAATCTATCTTGCACTGCTCGAATCGCGGCCACTGTTGGCTCTGCAACGCCTGTGCTGGGTTTATGCGAAGCTGGGCTCCGCTGTCAGGCTGCATGCGTTGGGCAGGCCAAGCACAAAAGAAGCCCAAGTTCTTGCTGCCCCACGGTGAAGCGCGAACCGAACAGGCACAGCAAACATTCAATCACTGCATTGTCTCCTCTACAACTACGAGCCGCCGCCTACTAGCAAGTTTCCTGGCGTCCTTTTACCTCTCGCGCACGAAGTAGTTCACCATGGCTTCCCAGGCTGAGCTGGATGCTCGCCAATCCAACGCGGATGTCGCCAGTCCAATTGAGCCATCTACGCCTGAGGAGGTTGGGCCTCTGCCCGTGTCGTCACAAGTCACTCTGCCCTCAACCGAGATACCTGGATCGCCAATCGACCCTGATCAATCCTTCAAGACCGAGGCCAATGATGAACAAGCAGCTGCCATGGTGATTCCTTCGTCTCTGACCCCTCCGCCATCCACCCAGGTCGCTGCCCACAATAATGCGAGACGAACATTTTCACAGTCGCAGCAATCTGCGCCTTACTCACCGCCCGCTACCATCCTCAGCAATGTCCGTGACCGAGAAGTTGGCACCGATTATGCCCCGCCGTCCCCTGACCAGGTCCTGGAGGCTCCGGCCGATGAGCTGAGATGCATGCTTCAGACGTGCATCGCCGAACAGCAGAAGCTAAAGATGGAAACGGCGCATCACAAGCTGCAGTACAACTTGCTGAGACTTCAAGCGGAGGATGATGCCAAACGTGCTGCCGTGGAGCACGAAATGATCCGGAGGGAGGTGGATGCATTACGAATGGCAGAACACTCTCGTCAGGCGAGGCGAGAGCTCAGCACAGCGTCTGATTCTACACAAGCCAAGTATCTGCAGATGAAGATGTGGTATGAGGCTGCCATGGAGGAGAATGAGACGCTGGCCCGTCGGCTCAAGGTTGCTAAAAAGGTTATTCAGCAGAAGGAGGAGGAGACTATGTGTTTAACGGAGGAGAGGGACCTCCTTCTAACTCGCATCCGAGAGAACAGGGAGCATTTCCACATGCTGTGCAGTCCTGGTGGCATCTTTCACAGCGCTCTGACCCCGAAACAGCAATATATTTCGACGCCTCAACAACAGCATCGCACGCCGCATGGAGGTCCGCACCAGACGCCGCGATCTTCACAACGGGGTGGTGACACCGAGGGCCGTGAACATGGTCTCTCCGCCTTGCTGCAAGCCATGAGCCAGAGTCAGGATAACAACAGCGCTCCATCCACACCAATGACGTCTCACCGAGCCGTGCAGAAACACTCTGGGAGGCATAACCGCAATGCGCAGTCCCTGTCATCGCTGCCGACCACGCCTGTCAGCCGATCTCGAGACGGCGGCTTGTTGCCATCGGCTGATTTGGTGCCGCAAACCGAGCCTCGCCATCGCCATGGTGAGCAGCAAGTTGTGCCGACGACACCGAACCCCAAGCGGGATCGACGACGAAAAAGTCGAGAGAGCACCATCTCAGCCGACGACAATGAAGAACTGGCAAGGCAAGCGTTGGAATCGGTCGAGGCAATGCATTCGTTCACGTCCCAGGGATCCAAATCTGCACCACAGGGGTCACGTCAACGACGCAGGGCGGATGAGGCCGACGGCGACGGGGAAGTATTTGACAGCCAGGCGAGCCAAGCGGCAACGGAGATGCTGCGGCGCCACCCAGGTCGAAGCTTCGGAGTGGCCCCTTCGGCAGGGTCCCGGGACGCATCTCCCGGGCCGGGACAGGGGCCTGTTGAGCAATCAGCCAAGTTGCAAGCTAGGCTCCTGTCAAGTTCCAGGGGCGGAGGGGGCGCGATGGACAAGCGCAAGTTTAGCGGGAATGCATTGGCGGTAGACGATTCAAGGCGTGAGCACGGGAGCCCTCCGAAGAAGCTGAGAGCTGGGTCGATGACGGAGGAGCAGCGCGTGGGTCTCGGAATTCAATACAGCAGATGATTATGTATAATGAGGTGATGTTGGCTGGTAGCGAGGGACCATTATGAAATGTACGGCATGAGGGCAATAGCGGGTGTATTTGGTACTGTAAAACTAATCTAGCTGAGTAGGTACCTTCAATACGGCACATTCCGGGATTTGGACATTGGCCTGATATGCATTTACAGGTACCCTGGATGGTATTTAGGTGTTTGTCCAATAACGAGAGCTGTGTGCGTGCGTTTACACTGCTTCGGATAGCCCAGATGGATTACGAAGCAACACGCATGCATGGAAGCCGGACCAGGCCCATATATTTTTGCGGTGCACATGTGGGCAGTTTGTGTGATCAGACCAGCCGGCAACTCTATTTCCAGTGACGGCTCCAGGGGTTCATGGTCGCCCCACAGTGTCCATCGGCTCGGGACTGTGTTCAAGTGACACCGGAACTTGACGACGGCAACTTGGGACGGCACGGAAGAGCCCTTAGCCGCCACTCCGCCATCCGGGTGTAGATATCCGACGGCGGGCTGTTTCTATCCATGCGCGCCATCTCGTCTCACGTTTGACTTTGATTTCATTTTTCGACTTTTGTCTTGTATTTTTTTTTTTTTTGCGGCTACTGTCTTGCATGATACCCTGCGCCGATCATCTACTTGTACAACCAAAGACACACAGAGAGATACGAAGCATAGAGACACAGACACGATGGCAAGCCCCCGAGGCGTGGCCAACATCCTCGCCAAGTCGCCGGCCGACGTGGTCATCCTCTCGTCGGTCCGCACACCCGTCACGCGCGCCTACAAGGGCGGCCTCAAGGACGCGTACCCGGAGGAGCTGCTCGCGTGCGTGCTCAAGCATGTGCGGGAGCGCAGCGTGCCGGGGACGGACCTGGGCGCACTGATCGAGGACGTGGGCGTGGGCGTGGTGCTCTCGGAGCTGGGGGGCTCCAAGGCGGCGCGCGCGGCCATGAACCACGTCGGGTACCCGAGCTCGACGGCCCTCTTCACCGTCAACCGGGCGTGCTCGTCGTCGCTGCAGGCCGTGGCCGCCGTGGCCGGCGAGATCCGGGGCGGCATGGCGCGCGTCGCCGTCGCCGCGGGCATGGAGAGCATGACGCGCAACTACGCCAGCCGCGCCATCCCAGTCGACGCCTGGCCCGCGCTGCCCGCCTCGCCCGTCCGCGACGCCAGGGACTGCCTTATGCCCATGGGCCTGACGAGCGAGAACGTCGCCGAGCGCTACGCCGTCTCGCGCCCGGACCAGGACGCCTTCGCCGCCGAGTCGCACCGCCGCGCCGCCGCCGCCCGCGACGCCGGCCTCTTCGACGCCGAGATCGTCCCCGTCGCCACGCGCTTCCAGGAGGTCGACCGCCAGGGGGCCAAGGTCGGCGCGGAGCAGCGCGTCACCGTCGCCAGGGACGACGGCATCCGCGAAAACGTCTCCGTCGAGGCGCTCGCCCGCCTGAAGCCCGCCTTCAAGCCGGGCGGCGCCTCGACCGCCGGCAACTCGAGCCAGGTCTCGGACGGCGCCGCCGCGACGCTCCTCATGAGCAGGGGCACCGCCACGCGCCTCGGCCTGTCGGACAGGATTATCGGCAAGTTTGTGTCCGCGGCCGTCGTCGGCTGCGCGCCCGACGAGATGGGCATCGGGCCCGCCCTCGCCATTCCCAAGCTGTTGGCGTCGCATGGCCTGGCCGTCGGCGACGTGGACAGGTGGGAGATCAACGAGGCCTTTGCGAGCCAGGCGCTTTATTGTTTGAGAAAGCTGGGCCTGGAGGACGCCTGGGCCGCCGGCAGGGTGAATCCGACCGGTGGTGCTATTGCCTTGGGTCATCCCCTCGGCGCCACGGGCGCCAGGATGACGAGTACCTTGGTGCATGGCATGAGGCGGGATGGTCATGATTTGGGCGTTGTGAGTATGTGTGTTGGCACCGGCATGGGCATGGCCGGCCTGTTTGCGAGGGAGGCGTGAGTGGAACATGAGGAGGGGGTTGTGGAGGATTGTGTTATGCCGTTTGATATATATCTTTTATTTTGGCAGGGTTTGCCGTACTTGGGCTTGTGAAAATAGGAAAGCATTATGACACATTTTATACAAGTATACACCACCACCAATAATGGGTCTCAAAGTGACTGATCATGTTGAGTAGATTATGACGGCCCTACGAGCCTGCTGCTATTACCAGATACCAACTTTGGTGTCAAGCTGAATCAATGCCAACGCACTGCGTCGTACGCGTCACCATACTCCTCGGCGGTATGCCACCGTGCTCAATGCTCAGCCTCCTTGGTTGTTCTGCGCGCCTGAATCCACAAACCAATCCACTGCCATCACGATCAACGCCCCTTCCTTCCACGACGCCAAGCTTATCCACGCCGAGCTGAGCAAGGCTCTTGCCCACGCGGTTATAGTCGCCGAAGAAATAGTGGGCGCGCGTGTCGTTGCCTGCTGTGAGACCATGGCCAAGAGTCGCGCCCCAAATCCCAGCTACCCGAAGAGCGTGAGACTGTGAATTTCTGTCCCGTTGAAGCATGACGGAATACACTGATCCCGTATATCGAACCGTTCCATCCGCAAGGAATGCCGGGAAATCCCAAGCTTTGCCATTTGCGGAAATCGGATGCCACGGCGTAACAAGGAGGTTTCCGACATGGCAAAGAGTCTCTTCTTGGACCGCAGTCTTCAACACCATGGCCACCTTACGGGTGCCCGTCGGCGTACGAACCTTCATTCCTCGACGCAGTCGTCGGATGTGAACCATTCTTCCGGATCCGAGTTCCACTGGCGTCGAGCCTGCGAAACATACGCCAGAGGCGTTTCTATATCGGCTCATTTGGACGGGAGCGTTGTGACCCCAAGAGCCTGAGTGGCCGCCATACCTTCTGTTACTAGGAGGTTCTGGAGGAGGCAGGTCGTCAAAGGCCGAATTTAGACGATCCCGACAGTCGGTGAACAGAAGGCTGTCAGCGCCGTATTGCAACGGTCCTGGATCTTTAAAGGAATTACATATTTGCCGAGAGTGGGCGTTGTAGTAGGATGGTAGGTAGTGAACGCCCCATTTCTGGAGGAATTTGATGTTGTTGATAGCCAGAGAGATCTGACCTTGAGGCTCTGGGCCATTGAGGTCTTGCATCAGCGACATGTTCTTCTCATCAGCAAAGTCTTTAGCGGGAATTTCGGTAACCAGACTACGCAGCTGTTTCTTGTACGTTTCATGTTTGCTCAAGTTGGGCCGGTGTTCGAAGTCAGGGCCAAGGGGAAAGATTGACGATAAGAAGCTACATATTTCAGCTCTCGATTCGTGGTAGGCGATTTCAGCATCGGGCATACTTGATGCCTCAAGGACGCTGGCCCTACAGGCGATGGTAACAGGTGCACCAACCATGTTCGATCCGTAGATATTTGCCGGCCTGTAGGAAAGAGTAGCAGATACGCCGAGGGAGTGACAACTCGCTGCGTCTGTACCATTTTCGCCTGGTGATTCACTGATACGGAGGAATACGTCTCGAGATTGGCCGAATTGAAGGCTGCCCAAGGGGATTTGCAAAGCCATTTGCCTGCTGCTTTGTGGTCCTACCTCCTCCGGTAGCTGCTTTACCACAGTCTGTGCACCAATTTCATGTATTTCCATGGATTTGGGATACGTCAACGTCAATGCGGCTGCAGTGGCGAATGTTGCCTGCAGATTCGCAACTGCGTGGACAAACACCGTGCCTATCATGCCAGCATCGGGGATGAATGCGTAATTACCGTGGCCATATTCAGCCAGAGACTTCAGCAGACCTGATCTCAGGCCATATCCGAACCCAAAGGTATGAATCGCCGCGGGGAGGCGTGGTAGTGTCTTGAGTTTAGGGATATAGCCCTGTTGAGGACACCTATCCACAGAGTTGGATGAATGTTCACTCTAAGCCCATAAGCGCCAAGGGGAAACTCACATGTGGTTGGGCATTCCATCTGTTAGCACCATCATAGCACGGATATTTCCATTCTCTGCCGACTGTTCAAATATCTGGATCCCATCCCGAATACCGTGCCACAAATTCGTGCTCCCATTAGGATCAAGGGCCTTTATTTTCCTCCGAGCCTCGTCTTTGTTGCTGATGTCCATATGTGTGAGAGTTTGCACAATGGTGGAATTCGTGGCGAAGCTAACTATTCCCAGTCGGTCTCTATCGTTTAATGTTTCGATAATGGTCAGAGCGGCATGTTTGGTCAAATCCAACACCGTGAGACCCGTTCTCTCTGTTTCTCCCGGCACAGGAGCATTATCCTCCATGCTGGTGGACACGTCAAGAACCAGAACGATGTCGCAAGGAACATGGTCGATTTGGGCTGCTGGCGCTCGGGGAGGGACGACTTTGACAACAAGTGACCGCTTTGACGGGATGGGATGTAGTTGAAGCGCTACAGGACTTCGGCCAACATCATCTGCTTGCCTAGCGTTTCGGATCGGGACTCTCTGTTTTGGCATATCAGTTTTGACTTGAGGATTTTACAGGCTCCCATAATAGGTCAGAACGTTACACACCATGGCGATGCTTTATGTGAAAAGCATATAGGAACCAAGAGTTTGTTATGCACGAGATGGTTTCCAAGGTTCAAGTCCTGAGTTTCTCCCTGGTGACTAGTTGAGAAAAAAATGTAGTCAATGAAGAGGAGATTGAGGTGCAAAGGGAAGATGACTATGGAATTATTGTCCCAACATGGAGGGCTTCTTATACGCCAAGACCCTTGGAAGCGATTACCAGGGCTCGTCTCCACAGACCTAGTTCATGATATATTTTCTCAGAATACGCCTGTGCAAAGCGCAGCGTCAGCTTTCCTGACTCGAGGAAAGGCCACATCACGGGTGCTTAGTTGTATGCTATCCTCCGTGGCGTACTGGGCGTTTTAACTTGGGCAACGTCTCTTTTCTCCAGACAAGGTGGAAAACGATATGTTGGTGAGGCACCCTATTGCTGTGCGCACAACCTGACACATTTTCATTTGCTTCGACAGACCGTAGCGCCCCTTGGCACCGTGGCTGGGCGTCCGAAAGGCCTCTGATGGATCGGAGAGCTGAATCTCCGGCGGTAAACATTGTGCGAATCGCCCAAAAGGCTCTATCCAAGGCCCATCGATGTTCGAGATTGGCAGAGAGATTGCGTAGTGGTCTCTGAGGCAGACTTCAAGGCTTCCTAGGCTGAAGACGAGGCATGACAGCCGAGCAGCTATGGAGTGGTGGCATTGCGGGGTGCCAGGACTCAGCCTTCAGTCACACGTCACCACATTGCCGTTGCCTCTCGCTTCACATAACGGATTGTGCAAAGCCTGGAGATGGCGGTGCGAACTGCATAAAATCTAAGAGAAGCATCGAAATGGGAATGGCCGATGATTAGTAGGTCGAAGGAATTGCCAACGCCAGGAGAGCTTACTCCGTGATGGCTGGTTGTTGTCGCGCCCTGGAGAGCCTCACTCCGCTTTTTGTCGAGACGCGGTATTAGGCGAGCAGACAAAATCGCTTACGATGCATCGTCTATCTGGATGGAATCCACGGGGTGGCTATCCAAGTTGGACAAGTTCAAAAATAGATGTCGTCAAAGCAATTTTGTGATGAATGTATGATCAATTGATGTTCATCTGGGCCTTGTTCCTTGTTCAGGTACTCCGTACCCAGGTACTACAGTGTCGCTGTACTTAGACAGTGGGCAGGCCACTGGGCAGGCAGGCAGTGCAGAGCTCCTGCCGCCCCAAAATACCAACCGCACAAGGCTCGACATTATGAGCATCAGCCTTGATGTCTTCGTCACTCCTCCGCACGTGTCTCGTAGTTTCGACCGATTGTGAGAAGCTCCCGATATGTACACATGTCCTGCGACGGTTCCCAAGGCTGATGGCTTTAGAATTACATCGGGCGAACCAAGATCGCCCAAGTCTGTCCCCCACACATCTCCAGTTTCCGCTCTGGGGTCCAGAATCGAAAGACCCGGCCCATGACAAATTCCCAGTCCGCCCGTCCGCAGTCTTCGCAACGCCATCGATGAAAATAGCGTCAGCTACCAACACAGAACCCAGCAGCCGAGATACTAGTACTACGAGACTAGAGATCGGATGGCGGTGGTTTCCAACGCAGCCGAGCTCTTACAAGAACTGCAGCCTCAAAGAGCGCCACGCAGCTACTATACTACCACTAGGAAACCGAGATACCCTCCTCGATGTTTTCCTCTCCTGGGATTGGTTCTGGGTCGGTCGGATCAAGAGCCGGCTAATCCCTCCATCTGACTACTCAATTGCATTGCCGCGGACTCGTCGAATGGCAGGCGTCAATTCCCGTCGGCTCCTACAGGCTTTTGCCAACGATCTGCCCACGCTATGGAGATCTAAACTTCTCCCCACCAAAGACGTGACTATCGAGGACGCTGACATTTCTTATGATGGGCAGCTAGACGAATGCGGAAGTGGGTGACCGACGCATAAAGGCTAAGGAAAAGATTATCGTCACGGCACATGTCAATCCTTCTGCCCTGGACCATGAACACACTCTCCACCTCGGTGAGATCCCCATCCGTGCGCCAACGTCCTACCCTCTGAGCAGACGGCAGACCCCGGTGAATCTTTGCGGGGAATAGATGACAAACAAAGGCGGAACTTGTCACTGACTGTATTGAGGATGAGGCGACTGGACATGACGGCGACATGTCGTGTTCTCTCGTCTGCAGCAGCACACCCATTCTCAGTCTTGTTTTCTGGACATTATCCGGATGTGATGGCTACGATGGGCCTGGATTCTGCCGTACCCCGCAGAAAAGTCCAGATTGGAGACGGCTTTGGAGATTGACACCAAAAATTCAAAAGCTGGAAAACTCTCAGCTAGCTCCTTGCACATGTTCGTCCTGCCAAGTCCAGCCAGACAGATGCACAGTTCCCCTCAAGTCCCTTGTGGGTCAGTGGCGTCATTAGTGCTGCATTCCGTAGCATTGGGCTGCTCGACGGCGCCGGGTACTGGGCTATACCAATACCAGGTCGAGCCGCCTCAAGTGCTCCTTGCGGGCTGTGAGCAGATGCAGGAGGAAGGCACTCGGCTGGGGTGTTGTTTCAGCCAAGTTGAGATGCACTCCAGACTCCAGAGCTAAGTGAGACGATGACGGCACAGGGACTTGAGTGGGCAGTCGTACGATGTGTGCTCAGCTTTTTTCAACACTCCTCTGACGAACCGCGGCTCTGGGGGAAAGCGAGATGAAACGAAGAAGAATCGGAACGGCCAGGTCGTGTGAGAAACATCACACTCAACGTTGGAATCGCGTGAGCAACAGTATGACGAGCAGGGTCCAGACACCCGGAACATCAGACTGAAGCTCCCCACGTCCCGAGTCGCAACTTATTTTGCCACCAGGGCGGACGAGGAGCAGGTGCTCGTTGCAGGCCGCGTTGCTCCGATATCCGGACCAAAAGGGGCGCACAAAGGAGCAGAGGCAGACCATGGTGGTTCAATCAAATGAGTGCGTTGCCTCGCACTCACACCAGAATCATCACACCGGCGCCGACTTACACGCTTCACTGGCACACCCGCAAGCAGGGCACCCATGTTCAATGCTCCCCAGTCCCAGGGCTTTTGCAAGCTGCCGGGCTTTGGCTGCAAGATTGTCTCCCGACGCACATGGAGCCTCCACTAGCCAACAGCCCCGTTCGCGGCACGCAGCCAACCAGGACGGCTTGGTGTGGTCATGACAGACGGAAATGCGTCATGGCATTTCGATTTGCCTTTATCGCAGCCCTGTCAAGGTCCCTGGTACGTAGTAGTACTGCTTGTAGCACCAGAGGCAGCGGCTGCACCTCCAGCTCCACAACTCGACGATGGACGATGGTCCGGCCTGCTCTTGGTGTTTTTGTCAGACTTCCCGCGTCGCTTGTCCACGGTCTATTTCCTGCCATCCTCACTGGTCACCTTTAGTGTCTATACGCCTCAAGTTTCCTCTCGCCCCGCTTGCCTCGACAGAGTGTGACGTCGAAGCCTTGGAGTTGAACCAGAAAAGCTTCTGCCTCGAGAGAATTTCCGTGCGGTTGAGGCACCCACCACCACCCACTCTCACACACAAAAACGTGGGCTAGGGGATCCCCGACCCCCCTCTCTTCGGGTCCGTCCTGCTTTTGTTATATGTACATATGTGACTCCTTCTTTCCCCGAGAAGTTAAAAAGAGCTTCATGCCCTCCTGTCATATTTTTACTCCTCCCTCTTCTCTATCTGATTTGGTCTCTCCACTCGATATAATAAAGCCATCTTCTGAACTATCGAACACACTAGAAACGTCCATCTCAACCACCTCGGCCTCTCTCTCAAACAAAGCGGAAAGTTAGTCCGTCTCCCACAGCAAAAAAAAAAAAAATCCACCAAAGTTTATCAAAATGCCCGCCTACGAGTACTGCTGCAACTGCGGTGGCATGATTGTCATTAGCACCACCTGCAGCGCCTGCGGCCACAAGCAATGCAACAACTGCCCTGCTTCGTAAGGCGTAGGCGTTGACCTTTCGTCTTTCAAGAGTCCATTCCACCAAGACGAGCCTGCTCCTGTCGCTCATACATGGCAGGCGATCCGAGCCCAAGGTACCATCTATGCTTCGGACTCTTTGCCTACGGGACACAACACGAACATGTTTCTTCTCAGCAATGTATTATGGCTCCTAGGGAATTTGATGAATTTCGCCGCGTTTGATATCCAGATCACTTTTTTTTTTTCTGTTACCAAAGCCGATATCCAAGGCTGCGATACCCCCCCTCATCATAACCAAGCAACCGCGGTTTTGTTACATCCTTCAGAGTGACTTTGTTTCGTAACTTTATTATTCTTTTCTACGCCTCGTCTTTACTACATGTAACACCAGTATGGGGGGTTGCGGAATACCAAAGAGCAGGCGTTTGAGCATGGTAGGGGATGGAACAAGTGTTCCTATGTTCTCGCTTACAAGCAACAATGTTGACGGCGCTCTTGCATCAGCAAGCGATTGGCAGGGAAGGAGGCGTTTTGCCAGTGAAGGTGTTGGATTCACAAAGTTGCACTTGAAGTCTGTATTCTCTCTATTTTTTTCTTCTCTCGGTTTTCGGCGCTGGGCACGCAAACGGGTCGCGGGACTTGTTTTCGATGATTTGTTCCATTTGTCCTTGTCGACATGTACGACAAATGACCAACCGACGGAATTCCGAAGTAACTTGGTGTGTCGTCCAATGTTCTTAGTTAGAGTCAGGCAGGAAGAAAAAGAAAAGTTTGAATCCCTCAGATGATTAGACCCGGGTGATTGTTGCCCGTGCCATGTCCCAGGTATACGTGGTATTCTATTTTCAACTATCATAATCGACTTCTACATTTCCACACCATGGCGGAAGCCTTGCGCAAACCACAATTTATGCTCACATACACAAACACATACATAGTCCTCAAGCTTAATAGTCTTTCACCATGGTGATGGCCTGGCCCTCGGCCTCCCTCTGCTTCACCCGGAACCCCTGCTTCTCATAAAACGGCACAACCTTTGCATTGGACACGCCGACGCCAATCCAGATGCCCTTGCACGCGGCTGCGCCATCCGCCATCCCAACGGGCCTCACGCTCTCGACAAAGGCCTCAATCAACCTCCTCCCCCACCCACCCCCCCCCCCCCCCCCTTGCCCTGCCACTCGCCCAGCAGGTCAATGTGCATGGTGGCCCTATAGCCCTCGGCCAGGAGACGCTCGTTGCCGTCCACCAGCAGCCAGTGGCCCGAGTAGGCCGTCTGCGCCAGCGCATCCTCGCAGAACCGCCCGTCGACCACCCAGTCCAGCCTCCGCGACGCGTCGACGCCGTCCGCCGGCGGGCCAATCTCCCCCGACGGCTCCAGCACGCCCGCCACGTACGCGTCGTACCCGGCCGCAAGGGCCTCCGCGTCCGCGCACCCGATGCAGTAGCCCACCGCGCGCCCGCCGCCGTCGTCCAGCACGAAGCACGTCCCCGGCGAGAGGTGCGTGTACGGGTGTGTCCAGATGTACGGCGCCAGGCGACGCAGGAGCTGCGACGTCGACACGTCCGCTGGCAGTGTTTCGCGGCACTAACATACGATGTGCCCGGTTAGTCCGCCCCTTGAGGGAGGTATATATATATACGGTGCGGTTGCGGGACATACAATGTGTGCGGTGGCCTCAAAGTCAGACGCCCGGTACCGTCTTATAAATGCCATTTTTCTCGTTTCCGAAAAAAGAAGGAAAGAAGAAGAAGAGACTATGCTGCTCTGGCGATTTGAAACAGCTCAATGGCCGTTCTAGACAAGCTCCTGCTTGGATACTTGAGCAGCAAGCAAGGACAAAGGAGAGAAAAACTATTGATCAGACAGACAGTCCAATGGCCAGTCCTCCAGCTACTTTCTTAAGTAAGTACCTTACTCTTGTGGCATGTATGTAGTACTCTGTAACCTGCCCCCAATTCCGCCTCCCCACGCTTCACATACATACGCTTGGACAACATGATTGATTGATCCATCCACTCCAAACCCCCACGTTGCAACCCGCCTATTGTAATACATGTACAATCCAACTAAAAAGACAACATTACACCCATGACGGATCTGGCCGACGTCTCTTCCCCCCTCCACAAGTACCGAGTAAGTTACAATCACTACATTTCAAGTTCCTCCTGACAGGCAACACGCGTCAAATACAGCCAACGAACAAATTGGACAGCACGACAGTCGTGTTCAGTAGATAACTGAACCCGAACTCAGCAGCCTGCTATAAATATCTAACCTGTCTCGGTTCCATCACATCTCAGTCTTCATCATGGTCACATTCCAAATCCGCTTTTGCATGGTGCGCATGGCCCCTGTCTGTACATGTCCGAGATGCAGTACCAGTTTGCCTGCCCCAAACACCAACAGCCGTCGTCCTCGTTTTCACGGCCTCACCGCAGTCCAACGGCATCCTTCCATCAAATTTTATCAATTGCTTATATGTGTACATATATGGGTTTTGCTTAATACACCAGGACTGTCCATCTTATTGTTTTCCTTAACCCCATAGGATCTTTATATGCGACTCGCAATATCCTCAAGTTAAATGTTGCGCCTTGTCCATTCTTCAAAGACCTTCCTGTTTTGTTCTTCCATTGCTGGGGCATTTTCCGACACCAGGAGAGTAGATCAAATACCAGCCTGATCCTTTAATTGTAGAAGACGTCCTGGTCGTTAAGATGCAACAGACGTCTCCAGAAAACAACAAAAAAAAGTCGAGAACGCAAGGGAAAAACATACAATTCACGGGGAATAAATATTTGAGACAAGAATTGAAGGTACATAGATAGAAAAGAAAGTAGAAGCAAAGAGAGGGCCAGATTCGGTCGCAAGACATTCGCTGTGTGCCGTTCATACATGCCTTCGTCCGAGTTTGGCTAAAAAATGAAAAAAGGCCGTCATTCGTATTACAAAGATTTTGTCCTGATAAGAGTTTGAACTCGAGATGGTCATGCATGTGACTCCTATAGCCGACGAACCTGGTACTGGTATACACTTGTTTTGTCGGAGTCATTGAAAATTCCACCGTTCAGGAGTAATAAATATGTCAAAGAAGAGGAAGGAGAAACAGTGTGGCGGAGAACAGTGTAGTTGCCCAAGTCGATTAATCAACGTGATCAAATCATGCCTCCTGGTAGGCCGGCGCTCGGCATGGCAGAGTGCGGTATAGCTGGCCGGACCACTCTAGGAGGACTTTGTCGACTTTGGTGTGGATTCATGGGCATTCGGCCTCTGTAAGGTTCGGCAATAACATCTTTCTCTCCCACTCCGAAAACTCTGTTAGGAATATGATGCCCTAGGTTTTCGTCACTCGGTCTCGGAAAGATATTCTTGCGGCGAGGGTTAATAGGTGGCAAAGGCGGTGCTCCAGGACCGCCGTGCAAGTTTGGAGTTGATGCCGCAGCGCCGAGCAAGCTGCCGTTGCGGCTCCTTGTAAATGCATGCACATCTGGTTGCTGAGGGGACTGCATGACTGGGAAGTGCTGCCTCCCGGGGGCTTCAAATCCGCCGACGCTATGGCTCGGACTCATAACTGGAGAAGGTCCAGTAGACATGTACGGAGACATACCAGAAGTCTCCATGGGCTGGCGTCTAATATCTGGTCCAGGCGAGCCACTGAGCCCTCGCCGGCCATAGTGATCCTCGTAGGTTGCAGAGCCGTTACGAAGCCCTGGGCCGCGACTATACGCGCGTCCACTGTTGCTGGTTTCAGAACCACTTCGGTCTCGCTCAGAGGCCGCCCGGGAACCGGCTCGAGATCGACTTCTATAGCTTTCGCCATCTCGTGGATCTCGTGGCATGCGGTTGAAAATTGCAGGTGGTGGACCATTCTCGTATGACGTGATCCGGCTGTTAGGAGGAGGACGCTCCGGGTTGGGACTTGGCTTCTGTGAATGCCGCTGTTGTGTTTCCAGTTCTTTCATTTTCTGTAGTTCCCGGCGGGCTTGGCGGAAGGCTTTCAAGCCTACGTGAACATTTTCCTCCTTTGCAGGCAGTGTTGGCTCATTTGACTGGACAGAAACCTCACCGTTGCGTGGTTCCCCTTGGCTGCTCGAAGCCTTCCTTGGGGACGGTGATGTGGCGACTCGGCTGGGCTGGGGGCTGGGAGACTTGAGCGTCTTGCTGCGGCCACGCTCCTTATCGGACCTGTCCAGAAGCGATCCTCGGCTTGATTTTGACCGCAACATACCAAGACTGCCGGACTTGGACGCGCCCAGGTCCTTATTGTGTTCTGGTTGAGGGGGGGTCGGCGGCGCAGAACGCTCATTATCCGATTCGACGTATGATGTCAGTCGTTCACGAACACGTTGAGCACGCTCGGCTAGATTTTGAGCAAATTCATCCTGCTCTACTGCGTTTGCAACGTCCGAAACACCATCATCATCCCTTACGGAGACGGCTTTGGTCTCTGTGACGCTCGGTTCTACTTCGTGGCTCGTCGAACCATACACAGACGAGGCGGTACTATCGTGTCGCAGGTGTTGTCGGACCATACCACTTAGACCTGCGTTGGGGCCCAATGTGGGAGAATCTTCCGGTAGTTCCGTCTTCGGTACCGGTGAGAGAGAACCCCCATGTTCAGAGTCTTTGGGCGATGTCAACGATAAAGGAGTGGGAAGGGCAGATTTACGGAAAGCTGGATGGTCGTGATCACTTGGACGGTCAATTTTCAGCTGGGGGGCAGCAGAGGCTCGGATGTTCATGGACCCGTCGTCACTATCATCGAAGAATGTGCTGCCGCAGTTCTCGTTGAGTGTGGAGGTCTCAGAAGATGCAGCCTTTGGGGCGGACTTCTCTACTGACGGTCGCTGGGCGGATGATGACCGAGACCTGCCTGCCACAGAAGAGCCTGCTGACGCTGTAGTGTGTCGAGAGGTAGATGAGTCTCGTCCCTGCTGGAGTTGACGCTGTCGCTGTGTATACCGTGATTCATCATACTGCATTGCTGGTCGAGTGAAGACACCCATTGCCGTCGCCTTACCACGATCATTGGGCTGGATAGCAAGAGGTGGATGCTCCTCGGTTTCACTAATGGGTGGGCTCAGGGGAGGGTTCCCCCCAAAAATAGGCTTTGTTTCTTGCCTCGGGAATTTGCTGCTTGAGTCGACAGGGCTCATTTGAGAGGAACTCATCGTAGAAGGGCTAAATGACCGTAGATTGGGTGCGCTCGCCTTGGACACGATAGGTCGGCGGTCTGATACACGGTCGCCAAATGTTGCAATCGTAGGTGAAGGAACAATGGAGGCAGGGTCCGGGGTTCGCGAGCCGAAGTGTCGCTGTCGTGACAATGTATCCATCCGAGATAGAGCTGACGTTTGTTGGTCCTGCAGGTCTTGCGTTAACCCTTGCTCGTAGAGCCGGCGGGTTCGAGTAACGCTTCGCTCAAGGCCCGCCAAGTGGCTAGTAGATGAGCTTTCCTTAATTGATGATGGTTGGGAGGCGATTGAAGTTGCAGCTGTAGAGTTTCGAGCTCCTGAAGGAACAGACGAAGTCGTAGAGCTCGTTTCCCGGCGTCGACTGTAATTCAGCGTAGCTTCCGCGTCAAATGTGTCGTTTTTCTGGCTTTCTTCTAATGACTTGCGCTCCTTTTCTGCTTGTCGCCATTTCTGAAAGGATGATTGTGCTACGTCGTCGTCGTAGAGTGCTCTACCAGTCATGCCAGCTTTAGAGCCCGCGGAAAGCTTGTAGATCTTTTGTCTGCCACCAAAAAGATTGTTCCCTTCCGTAGGTTTACTGCGGCCCATTATGCTGCCTGTTGTTGAGGATGCATCATCGGACTGATACGAGTCAAATCGGCCCAATGGGGGCGCCTTTAGCGACTCTATTTCCGCAATATCATCGAGCCCGCCTGTGAAGACACCAAAGTCTGCTAGCCTTGATTGTCGCTTTGAGAAGAGAACACTGTCGTCGCTGGCCTTACCAAGCTTGCTATTCGGGTCGTCTTGTTCTCGAAGCATGGAGAAGCGGGCTGATAAACCTGTCATTAGGAGACTAGTCCGAAAGTCGTTATGAGATGGCAAAGCCGTGGAAAGATCGATCTCTGGTTTAGGTTCCTCGTCTTGCGTTTTCTTCTTGCTAAACATGCGAAAAGGACCAGACGGCTCAGCATCTATTGACGGGCGGCCAACAATGGAATTGTCGTCCCTGCCCTTCTTCTTGGTTCGAAAGCGGTTCATTGTGGCGATGTGTTTGATGACTGGCTAATCGAAAGAGAACGGGAAAATGCACCTTGAGACAAGGTATCGGGATTTCGACCACCAATGGGATATTTCTCGGTGCTTCAATTCATGAGAATGATAGCAATTGGGCAATCGGCAGGCTTGAATTCTCAGGGAAAGAGAGACGTAATCCTGTTGTAGTTGTTAGTTGATAAAATGTTCCTATACGCATGCATTTTTCAGAACTAGCTGTGTGTAACTAGAGGCACAGTGTTGCATAAAATATCGTCTGCGCTCAGGTGCAGACTGGCGAACGCAAGCCTTTGAGGCCGGCTGCTCTGATCAACATGCCACAGGGTGCTAGCTCTGAGCGTCCGCGAAAAGTCCAACATACCTAGAACAAAGGCTCGGGTTGTGAACTGAAACTCTGAACAAAGCAAGATGCGACGACGCTAGAGCGTGCTGCATCAATGCAACGAGAAGATGTTGCAGCCACGTCGGGTTCAATCGAGTTGG